AAAAGCAACCTGACATTATAGTAATATCAGGAATATGGCTCAGTGTACATTTTAGTGGGTTTCTTTCTACCAATAATTCATATAACTATTTATTCCCCTAAAGATTCAGATTAAAGCTAAGCTTATTTAAAATAAAAACCTTTCCCAATATCCTCTCTCACTACTAGTAAAGCATTAGATCCTTTTAAGTAAATATTTATTTTTGCTTTTAATCATTTCTTGCTTTACTATTTTTTTTCTAGTTCTATAAATTTCATTTTTCAACTGAAACTTTCTTTTGAACTAAACCACAGTGTCAACCTATTTTGTTTTCATTCATTTCCTAATGGAGACCTGGCTGTTTCACATCACATTGTGATATCCGTGTCTATTATCTTTTCTCCTGCCTAAGCTGATCTACCCTTCCATAGAGGGACTTTGTCTTGTAAGACAAAGTGAATAGAAGGAACAGAATAAGTATTTATTGATGGAAAATAAAATATGAGCCAATGAATACCATTGAACTACACTAAAAATAAAAGCAAAATTCCAGACACAAATATTTAAAAAGTGTAATTCACTGACCAATTGGGATGTCTTCTCCTTTATAACTAGCGTCTTTTTGCTTTATGAGTTATAGTGTCCTCACAGTTGATAAATACATGTAAGAATTAAAAAATCTTATAAAAATATTTTATGACTTAAAAAATATCAATTATATTTGTTCCTGGTTAGATACTAAAATGAAGATGAACTTACATAATTTTTAAACATTATACTCTGACATGATTTGGCACATTTTCTAATATCACAGAACAACAGTCAATATAAACAATTTTCTCCTTATTTGCATATTTTCTACCTTGATCAATTTTTTTCCCATATAAAGGAATAATGATATAAGTAAAGTATATAAAAATGACATAAATATTAAAATACATCAAGATCCTAGCTTAATATGAAAATATTACTTCAAATTTTTGAAGATTTACTTTGTCTTGAAACCAAATAATATATTTTTCTTGGAAATTACCAAATATTATAAAATTAGTGGCCTTGGGCCTCTGCGGTGGCGCAGCGGTTGAGCACTGGGCTGCGAAGCTACCCGCAGCCTCTGCAGCGCTGGTTCCATCCCCGGCCGCCGGGCGAGGGTCCCACATGGCAGACCTCTCCTGCCCCGCCCACTGCTCCCCTCAGTGTACTTTTGTCAGTCTGTCTGTTCTGCTCCCCACTCTGGCTCTGGTGAATTCTCTCACCCTCCCGTGCTTCTGACTGTACCCAGTGCTTGTATAAATAAATAAATAAATAAAAATAAAATTAGTGGCCTAAATTGAAAGAAGAATGAATACAATTTTAAGAATTTTTTTTTCTTTACCACTCACAGTTTCTTACTGTGGGCAAAGTAAAAAAGTCATATTGCTTGTCAAATAATTTTCTTTTTCAAATCACCTAGTTAAAATCTCCAACTTACGCCTATTCTTTCCTACAGTATTTTCTTCTGAACATCTTCAGGTGTAATTCTCTCAATGAATACCTCTTTTTATTTGAAACTAATGATTTGCTAACATGTCTCAATAACACGTTCATATATATATCTTTGCCAAGTCTTCTAAAATTGATTGTCTTCATATGCTCTTAGAAGTTAGCTACTGTTGCTTTCAAGTTGATTCATGAACACTTTGCATGACTTATTTAAAGAAAAAAAGGGAAAAATGTTTCAAAACTCTTCTGAATGATGTAAACTCTAGACACATGACTCCCTTCATCACTCTTACCTGTCCTGTGTGGTTATATTATGCTTTTTAAAAAATGGATGCATTTTTACGTGAGGAAACAGGCTGAAAGAGATGGACTAGTTAAGCTTAAGATCACACAATTGAGGGAGTCAGAATGTGAATTTAGGTTTAGTTTTCTCCAGATTTTAGGTTTTTTACTAGCTTATACTCTCCACAAGTGTAGAAACTGGAGCAAAAGTGACACTCATGTGAAGTTCAGTTGCAATTATTATCTCATAGAGACCTCAGTGTTTAGTCTTTGTGTGCAATGGTTGCCTGTTAGAACTAGAAACTGAGAACCATTAGTCATGTCGATTTATAGACAGGACTGCTCAGTAAGTTTTGTCTAATTGTGTCAATTAAAAATTATTAAGTCATGCTAACAGGTTTTTAGATGAGGAAATAAAAACACAAGAATTTGAAGAGAAGGCAAATGGAATTTAATGGACATCTGGATAAGATGACCTTTTTATTGTTCTTTATTTTAAGAATCTGCCAAGGAAATTGTTTATAATTTGATTTTTTATGAGTCAGTTATACAACTATAATTAAATAGAACAAATGGAGAATGTTCTTGTGAACATCATTCTTGAATTAATTTTCTATTTATGAATATCAATTTCCAACCTCCATATCAAATATATTACCTAGTCTTGTTAAGTCTGTGTAGTTGATAAATCCCACCCTCAGTCTCTGCTACTGCCTCATATCCAAACTCATTAGCAGTATCAAAATGCTCATAATTTTTGGAAAATATTAGGGAACTTTGTACATCTATGCTATACCACTGTGCCCTCAGTCTGAAATATTCTTTCCTCACTTGTTCTCTTGATGAACCTTTTTCATGCGTGAAAAGCTCTGCAATCCAGCCTTGAACTCTCTATATTTAATCACTTTTTCCCACAGTGGGAATAAAAAACTATAAATGTGGTTTCATTATTACATTGTCTGTTGTGTATTTGACTGGTTTTATTACATGTCAATCTTTCCTTTCACTGTGACATTTCATTGTGGGAATAGGCACTCAAAAAATAAATAAACATACTAGAAGTTATACTATATTAAAGGTATAGCTGATAGACTACAAAGAAATACCTTGAAGACTGTAATTGGTATACGATATAAAAAGCAAATGCCCTTCAGTAATTTGAATTGGAAATAATTAATGGCAAATAGAACAAATTATAATGACTATTTCAAATATGTGTGTATGTGTGTGTATTCTATTAGACAATAGAAAAATTGTCTCTTCTTCAAGGAGACAATATAATCTATTACTTGAAAAGCAGCCAATAATTTAATTATGTTTTATTTAGTAAAAATTAATTAGATGGACAAATTATAAAAAATCTATAAAATTTTAAATCCTAAAATAATAACTACTATTTTAATTATTACTATATACATATATTATGGAAGAAAAAATTAAGAAAATAAAGCTCATTTGTCAAAACTATTATATAGTATGTCTGAACTCAGCTATAATTAAAATAATTTTATTAGATCGTATTAGAAGATTTTCCATAATTTTTTTGAATGTTACCCTAAAACGATCACTGTTAGTTAGATCAATTCATAAGAAGAAGATAATCTGACTTTCCAACCAATATCATAATAAATAGGGTATTCTGAAGAGTTGATTTCAAAGCCTGTTAGGGCATGAGACATTAATCAACTTGACAAATCTTATATACTACATTTTCAATTTTCCAGGATTATTTATTGATTCTTAGATGGCGACTGGGAAATGCATGTTGAAATAGCTCCACAGGAATTAAAGTCTTTTCTTTTCCCCCTATGAATTCCAGGTCATGCTTTAGCAGTTTCTGTCTGTAATCTTGTGTTAGGTCAATATGTAGCAGTAATATATGTCCATCTAAAACTTGAAGAATTGATAAGGCAACTTCATGCCCTAGATTTTCTGAAAGGTTTGATCTTCATCTATTCTGTCTACATAAGAACAAAAACTTTTTTTCATTCTCTGAATCCTAATTTGAGATGAAAAAAATACAGTAACTTGCCTATGAGGATATCAGTACTCTGTGGGGAAGGTGACTTACCCTTTTTACTTATAGTCAATACAGATAGTTTAATGTAGCTTTCTGTTTACTATTTATGCCATAAAACTCTTTGCATAGGGCCTCCAGGGTGGTGCAGTGGTTAAAGTGTCTGCACTATCAAGCTATTACCAGACACTGCGGCATGAGTTCTATCCCCGGGCAGGGAGATATCCACATGGTGCAGCAGACGTCTCCTGTCTTGCTCACTGCTCCCCTCAGCAGTGTATTTCAGTAGATCTGCCTGTTCTGCTCCTCACTCTGTCTCTGGTGAATCCTCTCAACCCCCACACCTATGGCCTACACTCCAGTTCTTGTATGCAAAAATAAATATTAAAAAAAAATTAAAAATGAAACTTTTTGCTTATATGATATATTCAATGAAAAATCAAATAAATATAAAATACAAAGTTTTTCTAGCTTTAAAACTGAATGTTAAAGTGGTTTGTGGAGTATGATCATGATTTTGGTTCTAGAAATTAAATTACCTGTAAATGAGATGTGACATACAGAAAATACTTCTGGGGGCTATTATCAGAATCAATTCCAAGTTTCTCTCTAAGTCCTTTTCTTTTTTCCTGATCTAAACACAGCACAGGCAGATCCTGACCACTTAGGATAAATGCCTCACTTTTTGGGTTCATTTTCACTACCAAGGCAGTAAAGGTAAACAACCCTTCTTTGGCAAAATAAAATGTTGTTACATGTCATAATGTGGACTTCCAAAATATTAAAAGTGAGGAATTTATCCTGTTGGTTAGTGGTTATTTGTTTTCCCTGACATTTTTTTTTTTAATTATAGAATTCTACTCCTCATTGTTGTCCATAATTTGCCAAAAGAAAAAATGAAAGTGAAATTAAATTCCTAATGCATATTGAAGTAGCTTTTCTGTAGGGTTAATTGTAGAGTTATTTATTTTGAGATATTAGTAATTTTCAAGAACCTGCATGTTGGGCTAAGAAAACAGAAATATAGGGCATACCCAATTCCAAATAGGGTATTGAAAAATGTTTGCTGAAACAGTGAACAACAGAGGACCCACTTAAGGAACTTCTATTGCAGTTTACAGACATTTTCTACTTGAGTTATAGTGACAATTTGATTTCCCTTTAGATGGATTTAGTGCCTTTTAATTGAAAGCAAATTTGCTCGGGGATGATACTTACTATCGTGGAATATTTTACTCACCTCTTTAGGGGCATTAGCTTCAATGAATTCAGAATAAATCATCTTGGCTTTGGAAACAATTTTTTCTGTACTTTCGGTTTTCTTGAAGTCTTCACAGGCAAGCCAGAACTCGACATTTTCTTCACTAAACTCCGATTTTAGAAATGTTCGAAAAGCGTCTAAACCAGCTATGAAAGATATGAGAAACTTTTGTCGATCATATAGCAAAGGAATATGACCAGAAAGTGTACACTGCATATACATTTGGGTATTCCATGGCAAATATTTATCATTCCTGTAACTATAATATTTATGTTTTAGTTTTCATCATGAGAACATCTTCTGTTGAATGAATAATCATAAACACAAAATAAATCTACCATTGGCTCCATTAATGAAGAAAATCTGTACTTTTGCCTTCCTCTGGAAAGTCTAGGAGCTATGTGTAGGAGAAAATCTTCACGGTGGCTACTTATAGGAAATCCCATGAACTGTGAGTTTTAGACCCACTGCACCGAGCTCTGGTCATGATAATCATATTGTTGCTAACTTGAGAGTAAGAATGTATTTGTTGCTTTGAGTTGGTGAAGAAATATAATTTGACGCTAAGAAGTTGACCTTACAGCAAAGAAGGAAGGGCTTGCATGTATTAGTTTGGTGTGAATATATTGGGCAACTCTAACATGTAAACTAGAAATAAGTAACTAGCAAGATAATTGGTCTGAAGGCTTCTCCCCTTTATGTGGTGATGGGCAATTTGAATTCAAGGAAGCAAATAAAAGGGGTTTTGTCCAGTGTTACCTTAAGGAAAACAATGCTGATTTATTCCTACCATTCTTTCTCCTGGTACTTGCTCTAACTTAGTATAGGCAGGTGTTTTCCACCTGCCCAACCCCAGGATTATCCCCAGCACAATTTCTCCAAAACCTTTTTACCAGCGACAGCCCTGAGTCCCCCACTTGCAGGTGTGTTTAGATTAGTATATACATGTTTTTTCAATCTAACAGTGCTTGCAGTTTGGAATTTCCCTAGATCACACCTCTCCCCATTCTTTTACTTTCATAAAATTTTCATATTTATTATTCTTTGCTTCCAGAGATATTTGAATTCCTGACCACTTCACTTTCCTCATCAAAATGTACACTGCAACTCTCTACTTTTTATACCTAGAACTCATTTGAAAAGATAATTCTTGCTAAAACTTTTGGGGTTCAATATGTTTAAGAGAAACAAAGGAACAGACAAAACTAAACAAAAACATTCCCCAGAAATCTGAGTGTAGAATTGAGGTACTAGAGGGTGGGAAGTGGGTACTAAAGTGGGGAGGGTCCCAATGGATTATAGAGGAGGATTATAGCTCTTTGGTGGTGGGTGTGTTGTATGTGTGAGCCACACACATCCGAAGAGGCATGAGCCTGTATCTCTGAATCATATATAGTGTTTAAACCAACATTACCTAAAAAAAATATAACCAAGTTAAAAAAGAGTGCATGTCTCAATTGCGGGTTAGAAAGACCACCTAATGAAAGATTACGATTGTTGAACAAGCTAAGTCAGTACCTCAAGTTCCTATTACTCAGTTTTGTACTCGGCCCCTCTTCCTGGTAGCACCTGGCTGTAATTGAGGCTGATTGTCTCTCCGAAGAGGAAAATGTCCGAGCTTTTACCACTCAGAAGGATTTGCCTTCACAAACCTCAGTGGTTTTCTCCTCCACCTGCCACAAGGGCCTCCTTTGCCTGTCCTCAAGGCTGCTCTCCCCTAAGAGCTCTTGCCTTTCTCAGAAAACTGACCCTTCAGGTTTCAGAGAAGAGAGATAGACGTTTCTGGAGAGTCAGGGGAATGGAACAAATTGACTAGAGTAAAAGAAAATATAGCAGAAAAGTTTACTGGAAAAGGGCCTGCGTCAGTTGTTTGCTGCAGGTAAGAAACGAAATGAAATTTAGTGAGAGAAAATAGAAAAGGGCTTCATGGAGCAAGATTAAAGTGTCTGAAAACACTAGATTAAAAATAGATTTGACAAAGTTTTTTTTAATATATTCAAAATAGAGTTGAAATAACAAGTCATTGCAAAAGGTTATCAGGTACCAATTAAAATTCTCAGTAGAAATATTGGAGAGTGTGGATGTTGTTAATATGTGAGCACTATAAAAAATTCAATTAACTGCACATTTATTGTATTTAAAAATACACCCATGAAGCTTGTGACACCAATCTAAGCTGTAAAAATTCTCTTAGTAACAGTCAATTAAAATTTTCCATGAGTTTGGTCCAAAAGATGATGAATTTGAGGGGTCTGAAGAGAATTTATGCTAAAATCTATTTTTTGGAGAGGAAAATGTATTCTTTCATAACTCTGAAGGAATTTTGTAGATTCACATCTGGCAATACTTCATATGTGAGTCATTAAGGTGTATGAAACTTTCTCCCAGTAAGGATTATCCAAATGTACCCTAGAAAGTTGGGAATTTACAATAAACTATTACTATATTCATCCATCCTGCAAATGTAAAAAAAGACTACTCTAAAAATAACAATATCATCTTTTTTCCTCTCCCTGCCCTGTGCCTTAAATTAGGACATAATGAAATAGAAGAGACAGCAAAACCTAGGTTTTAGACATAAGATTTTATTTAAATACTCTTCTGTATGCACATGGGGATTTTCAGTGTATGTGACTTTAGAATACATACAATACATAAAGGGTGGAATGCTTCCTGGTTAAATCCAAGAGGGCCTGAAAGTGGAATAAGTCAGCAATAGGTGGTGAGAGCTATCATCAACTTTTCTACTTTGTGTGGGCATGAAATATAAAATCCTAGGAGGTATGCAGATTAAAGCATTTTCCTTTATCCCAATACCTCCCATTACTGCTCCATCATACTGTCCCATAGAACTGCCTTATATGAAGCCAGCCACATCACTATCTACAGAGAGACTTTCCTGGGGTTTTCAGGAAGCCTGGTCTTTTCCATTGGTTATGTACTAATACTTATGAAGAAAGAAAAACACCCTTTAAAGCTTACTAAAATGCATTCACCCTTGATGTTATTACTATATGTGCTTAGTTGGGTTGTAGCACTTATGTGGACTATTTTATGTTTATGCTCTAGGGATGGTTTATTTAAAAATCATAATAAAGTCAAAGTATAATTTCATCTAACTTTATACATGAGTAAACAATTAGGAAGAATATTCTGCTTTCTCATGTTTTCTAGTATTCTGGTACTTAATTTAAAATGGAAATACTATTTGGCTAGTACAAACAGTACTGTGTTGTGGGTTTTTTTTTTTCCATTTTCTATATATATTTTTATAATGTCATTTTTTCCTGAATGTGATGAACTGCTACAATATAAAGCAAACATAAGTCTAGATTCCTATGTAAATGGCTATTTTGTATCTAATCTGGGATATTTTATTTACATTAGACCCAAATTACTTATTAAACATTCATATTAAATGTAAATACATATGAACACAACAATAGTATATATTGATATATACCATACATTTCAATGCTTTTTGTATTTACTAAAAAAAGAGTAACTCAGTTGGAATAAATACTTTGAAAACTTTATTTTAGTCCATAGGATGTGAAAAATAAGTTATTTATTCAGACTTTCAACTTTTCAATGATTTGTATGCTTTTAGCTTGTAACAAAAATAGTCATTGTATACTCCAAATGATAATGAGTCTAAAGAATGACATTTCTCATTTGCTATTTGGAGTTTTCTTTTTGCTTTAATGTTTGCAATTTCTATGATGCTGTCTTATTTTAAGCCCAAATTAATTTCACTTAGACTTTGGGCCTTTAAATATGTGCATGATTGTTGAAAATCCATATTTCAAATACAGCTTAAACCCACACTTTATATGTCAACAACTTTCAGATTTAAGTGATTTGTTTTTTAATTATTGTAGTTTAAGACCAACTGTTAGTTGGATCTTACCTTGGTTCATTAAAAGTGTGTCCATATTTTCAGACCATGCCATCCCTTCTGTCCTTGGTGATCTGTGAAAACAACATCTACCCTTGTCAATAGCATTGTGATCTTTTTCATCTATAGCCTGTACTAATACTGAATTATGCATATTTGCTTAATTACATCATTTAATGAGCTTTGCATCATTAATCAAATTGCAAAAGGTCAACAAAAATTATATAATTGCTTCCATATACAATTATATAATGTTTTCTACAGCTAGAACAACACAAAGTGGGATATAATTTGAAATCTAAAAATTATTTATAAATCTGACCGGTTAATATTTTCAAATTCTTCAGTTCAAAAAAAGGCACAAGAGGGATATTGCTCATGGTTCTGTGGAATGATAGTGAATTTCTTCTCAAAAATAAATGTATTAATCATTCATTTATGTGGCATTGTCTAGCCTGGTCCTCAAAAGCCGGGATGATAGCAATGTTGATGAATGAACTATTTTCTAAGTTTTCACAGTATATGAAATTTTCATTTCATAATTATGCATCTCAAAATGTTTTTAAAAGTTTTGATTAATGATTTCTAACATGTGGTGATCTTGAAAATGTTTATTTATAGTAGTTTGAGAAGTCCTTACCCCACTCTGAGACAGCCTTTATTTCTCCTTAGACTGGTATGCTTCCAGGTTTCAACTGATTTATGTAAATCTAGGAATCTGTCATAACAGAGTAATATCTTTTCCAAAGCAGTGAAAAAATTTATAGACTTAAGTCTTCTGAAGAAGGTATACTTTTGGGGATATGATACAGACATAATAAATCAAGTTTAAGAGATAAATTTTTTGAGATGCAAATATATCATGTATTATTCCCCTTAATAAACAAAGATCCTGATGAAATAAGCCTCCATCCATTAAAAAAACATCTGCTACCCAGCAAAAAAATCCTGGATTATGTAGCTATGATGTGCAAATGACTTAGGTTATGGAAAAGGATGGTCTAATTAAAGATTTCTATTAAAATGATGGCTAATAAAATAGAGTCATATCTAGTCATTCTTGTAAAAATTTTTATTTCCATATCAAAGTGACTAATCTTAAATATAGTAGTATGACGCTGACTCTATGTTTTATATTCTATTACTTCCTGTAATTTGCTGCAGTTTTGATAATTTGTGTTGGGATGACTGTGCTCCCTCTACTGTTACACTCGTAGTTATATTTTCAGATAATAATGCTTGTCTTCATAGAGGAGACAGAGGGGAGTTAGGTGACAGAGAATTCACTTTCCTATCTTCCATTTTTTCCATTTCCAGGCTCAAATTTTTTCTCCCATGGTAGGCAGCTGTTTTTCCTTTTTCCCTTGATTAACTAAATCATGGGAACACCTGACTTCCAGTGAAATCATTGTGAGATGGTTTTTTCATTCAAATGGACACTAACAGATTTGGATTTTTCATTTTCCTGCCCTTCATTAATGGAGAATAAGGCTCTATCCGGTCTAATTTTATATTGAATTCCTGCACCATAAAACCTGTTACCTCAGATAAGCTCATTAAATTTTATATGACTCAAATATTAGGTCTTATAAAGATTCTATAAATAGTATTAAAATTATCACATGGTCATTTAAAATGTGTACATTTCAGTAGGGTATTCAAATATAAAGCTACATAGTACATATGGAATATATTTTAGTGAATTGGGCAGAGAGGAAATTTGAGCTCAAACCCAGACACACAGTGTATCCATTTTGAAAGAGGAAGAAAAACAATGAGAACACGATTCTAGATCATAGCATTCAAGGGTGTATGCATATTTCCCTGTTTTGTATAAGTTCTCTGAAGAGAAGAATAAATGTTACTTTCTAGCACCAAGAACGTTACGTTTTGGCCAAGAAATATTTGTTAATCATAGAAATGATTTTCAAGATGCTGGTGGGTGAGATCGAGACACTTACTGATAGGTATAGCTTAATTGTAGTAGCTCCAAAGAGTGTTCTAGGTGATGCTAAAGGAAAAATGGTGCCAAAGTATTTTTGGGACCCACGGTCCATTGAACTCACTCCCAGCCCTGAGGTGTGAGGTTGGATAGAAAGGACACCTGCCCTTTTTTTCAGGTTCAGCCATCCTTCAGGGAGGCACAGGTTCGGATGAAACCAAAACCAAAAGGAATATTCAGTTTGAAGAACTTACAGTAAATGAGTCTTTTTGGAACAGGTGTGCTCCAATAAATGGTAATGATCCTTACTATCTTTACTGATATAGGGAAAGGAGAAAAAAGAGAAATAAGAAAGCAACATCTGGGTGGTGTAGAATCAAGGACAAAAGAAAAATCCTAATGTTTTCCATCAGAGAGATATACTAGATTATTATAGATATTGTGGAGCTATAGACCACTATAGAAAATAGAACTAGAGATAGGATATTGTAGTGTTATTTAAAGTCCACCAAATGCTGACATTGTTATAAAGGCAAACACTGTCCTTCCACCCTGTAAGGAGACCCTTGCTCATGTGTAATGATGCCTTGAATGGCCCTCAGCATGCTACATCCCACTCAATTTCAAGTTTGACTTGCAGTTCTCAGTTTTGACTATCTGATGTGAAAAAAAGGGTGGATAGTAACACACTATTTACTTTTCAGAAATTAGGTGAAATATAGCTACTTTTGGAATGGACTACTGTGTTTGTTACACTGTGAAGGAGTAAATGATGCTACATATGAACAAAGTGAGGGAAATAACAACCAGTTAAATCCCACCATATTGGTTGAATGTTTATTATCTATACCACAATGTGTTAGCATGGTATGTATTTCATCTCATTTACTCTTGAAAATTGTAGACTCTGTTCTCATGTACCATGTAACCAGTGAGCTGATTACTGGTGCAATATCTCACAGATTTAATGTGATGATCAAACACGGGTATAACTTTTTGTAACCCAAACTCTTTTTACAATTCTTTCTAGAATGGGTGAGTCAATACACACATGCTTGTATTTATTCATATTTTAGAGTGTTTATAGTGAATACTTTGAAAGTGTTTTTTTTTTTTTTGCAATGAAGATTTCTTCCAATCTACACAAATATTTCTTCTAAATAGTAGCTAAACTGGTTTTCAGAATCAGAGATCTTTAAATCTTATACATTATCAAATAAAATTAAGACATTTCCTTTGGCACAAGTGAGTGAGAGAGATGTTTTATGTTGTAAATAAGCACTATCAAAATGTAGAGAGAGAAATGTCATTATTGATATTACTAGTAAACAAAACGAGAGAATTTATATTGGGGAGATAAAAAAGAATGATTAAAAAGTGTACTGACTTGGTTGGATTACACATGACATGGGTTACCTTAAGTCAATGGACAGTGTGACCCCCTCTTTTTCTTCACTTTTTACTTGGATTTTACTTGTAACTTTAGCAGAACTTTTGCCTGGCTCTTGTCATTTGTGTGTTTGTTTCCTGTAAAATTATCATGGATAATCAGACTAAATTTTTGTGTGTCCATGATTTGCTATGAAAATTCACTGTGTATCTGTAGCCAAAATTGCACTTAGTATTTCATGGGGTTTTGGCTGATTTCCTTTCTGCCTCCTTCATTAAGCAAGTGCCATCAAGGCCAGCAGTCCCCATATTATGTGTCCAGAGAAGAGCCAGGCCAGATGGGAACTGCGTGAAAGCTACCAGTTAGCTTGCTAATTGTGCCAGCTAGAACCAGTTGTATTGCATTTAAAAATGTGGAATCCAACAACTTCGCTGTTCACACTCAATTAGCAGTGTGCTGGAGAATGGGAAATTCAAGCAAGGAGTCCATGTGCTCCAGGAAGCGACAGCTGCTTCCTTACCCAGCAGTTACTATCTACTTTCACTTTTCTTAACAAACAGGCCAATAATAAATCATTTTTTCATAGACCATATAGCTATCTTATATCTCTACTGCTAATGTTTAATAATTTTGAAAAGCTTCTCATACAGAGAGCTCAGTGGTATTTCTCTACTTTATACCCAGCCTTTATTTTAGCAAGTGTAGAGTATTAACCACAAAATCAAGTCATGAATTGTTGACATTTTAGAAAAGAAGGATAAATCAATAAAGGAAAAAATAAATCAGGAAGAAAGACAACAATTAGCATATTCATCATAAATGAAGCAAACAGAACATCTAGACCGATGAAGACTCAAGTGTTTCATTTATACATCTTCTGAGATAAAAATAACTTTAAACAGCAACTCACTTCACTGGCATTTTTCGTTCCACTGTCTGACTGTCACAGATGATGCCGAATTTCTCTTTCTGACTGATCTTCAAGCTGAAGGTAATGTGACAGCAGGAACATTACGATTAGTATGCAAATACCTATCCCCTGGGTTACAAATTGGCATTCTTTAAATCATGCTATTCTCAGCTTTTTTTTTCATTTTGTTGTTAACTTCTCATTGGTCAAAACACTTAAACTTCTAAGTAACAAATAACTCTTTGAACACATGTGACGTTTCTCAGAATTTGTGTCACAACTGAAATAAATTCCATTTGAAAGTTGGATTTCTAAAGGTCTTATACATCCATTTACAAGACAACTGTTTTTCACATGAGGTTAAATCAACTCAGAAAAAAATTTTCCATATCTAATTTCATATCCACCTTTTGGTCTTTAATCTGTCTCAGAGATCATTCTGTTCCCTTTGTTCTTTGGTATGCAGAAAGTCTGAGAATGACTCTACTTTTAATACACTTATCTTCAGCAACTACATATGTTTAAATATTTTTACAATTTTATTCATGGACTAAAATGTCCTAGCACAAAGCATTCTACTTTTGGGGGGAAATTTATTCACTTTTACAGCTTAATAACATGCATTTCTCTTTGTTTTAACCACGAACCTCATGGCATTTTGTTCCAATATTTCTTCATGCAATATTGACTTTGAAGCGATTAACACTGGAATATATTTTTCCAAATAAAAGAGATCTATCACTCTGTTTTATTTGTAGTTAAAGTTTTGTACAAGTAACCTTGTGTTTCACAAACTCTTATCTCCATATAGTCAGTCCTCGGGCAATAAAATTCTACTAGTATGTATGTATGAGCTCAACGTAAATTGAACACTCCCCCGATAGCCACCTGTCCAGGTAGATTAAAGGAGGGAGTCAGAAGACAGAAGAAAATCTGCTTCTTCCTGACTTGACATTGACTCACCTCCCTTTAGCTGACCCGAGGACATGCCAAGGGATGCCTACTATGAGGCTGCCCTGGGCTGATGACACACTGGTAGAGTAGAAGAGGGACCCTAAACCGTCTCTGTGGCATTGCAAAGGGATAGCATCAATTAACTCTTTTCATTGTGCTCATTCAGGCACCATTAAGTAATGTTCTTATGATCTGCAGAAACTGATTCATTAAATATATTTAGATTTATTGGTTTGCTTATGGGAGATATCGAAGTACTAGCTTTATAATGTGTTTGAACACTGTAAAATTGAGATAGTAAAATGTGAAATTTGAAAATCCTCTTAGTAAAACCCATGCTAAGTCTATAAGGAATATGTGCCAGGAATAGGCTTATTTTACATTACAACTTTTAAACAAAGTTGAAATTTATCTTTTGAGTTCAGTGAAGTTGTAAATGTGCTCTTTCCCCTCAATCCTTGCACAGCATGCAATTGGCATTTGTTTAATGTGCATGCCCATTCTTTTCAAAACTCCTTTAACTGCAGGAAAAACTGAGACTTGAGTTTCATTTACCAAAATGAAAGTCCTTTATACATGGACAGACAAGTAAGTAGACGGTTCTTCCTAGGCTGAATGATTCTTTGTTGAGTTCAGTGCATCACTTGACAGGAGATTGTTATAGATGTAGAATTGTTGGGAGACCTAAATATCTTCAGCCCCTAGTCCCAGGGAATTCAGGCTCCACTAACAGATCTTATGCCCAGTGCGGGTGATGCAGGAGCTCCCAGGATACCCAGGCTCAGTTGACTGGAGCCTCTGAATATGTCGCCCTGCATGGTAAAGGGGTGTTAATTATCCTAGGTCACCCTGAGTGGGCACAGTGTAATTACAAGGGTCCTTACAAAAGGGGAATAGGAGACCTAATGTCAGCAGTATAAAGTGTAAGAACAAAAGCAAGAACATAGAGTGACGTGAAGGGGAAAGGAATGCAGGTGACAACTAGAAGCTACAGAAGGCAGGGAAATATTCTCCTCTGCAAGTTTCTAGAAGCAGCAAGCCCTGGCAACACCTTGACTTTAGCCCAGTGAGGCTGATTTTGATCTCCAGGACTCTAAGACCATGTACTACTAAGTTTGTGGAAACTTGTTACAGCAGCAAAGGAAAACTGATACATCCAAGGAACTTCAGTTTTTAAAACCCTGCCTGAAAGAAGGTAGGAATGGACTAAAATAAGCATACATGTTGGGACCAAAACAGTGAACTCTTATGCACCTGGACACTTCCTGCTGGACATTAACTTTGACTTCTTTCTAAGCCTCTGACCTACTGCAATGGAGATGGTACCTTTCTTAAAAGATTATTATGTGACTGCAGCCTCTGCAGCGCCGGTTCGATCCCCGGCTGCTCCCCGGCCACCGGAGGAGGGTCCCACATGGCGTGCAGACCTCTCCTGCCGCCCGCTGCTCTCCTCAGCAGTGTACTTCGGTCTTTCTGCCTGCTCTGCTCCCCGCTCTGGCTCTGGTGAATTCTCTCACCCTCCCGTGCTTCTGACTGTACCCAGTGCATGTATAAACGAAACAAACAAACAAACAAATAAATAAATAAAAAGCATGCCTCTATAAAAAAAAAAATTTAAAAAAAAATAAAAAAAATAAAAAAAAAAAAGATTATTATGTGAGACTAAATGTAACTATATTAAACCAAAGCGTCTTGCATGTTTGTTTGATTTTCTTTATCCTTATTTGATACTCACAGAGTCACAGTATGTAGTGTGGAACACTTGTGCATAACTCTATGCTGTTTTTGAGAACTTACATTGTATAACAAATCATGATATGTTTTATAGAAGTACGGACCTTTAATCCTACTGCATGAAACTAGCAATTTTGGAAAACTGACACGAGAAGATATGTGTGGAATGAATTGGGAGAATGTGAGCATAAAGGTAGGCAGGAGAGTTGGAAGGGTAGTGTAATGGTCCAGGCGTGAGGTGATGAGGAATTGGACAAAGGCAGCTGTAGAGAAATGGAAAGTAAACACTAGTAGTGAGAGGCCTGGAAAAGGCATAGGATAGAGAGGGAAAGGGAAACATCTCCAACCTCATAGACTGAAATAATGGTATTCCCTCTAGGTCTTGGTAATAAAAGAAATGCAGGTTTGGGGAAGTTAATAAGTGAAAGAAAGATTATAGACATGCAGAATGTTGACTCAGTTTGATTAACTTTTTTTGTCTGACAGAGGTCACATCATTTTTAACAGCCTACGCAAAGATGATAGAGAGCTTTCAAATTTATAGGAAGCCTCTCTATTAGCCAAAGAAAGCTACTGCTATCTATATGTCACTACCAAATAGGAAGGAGAAAAATAAATAAGAATTTAATTTTGGCACTTGCATAGTTTAAGTGAAAGCCTAACATTTTATTTTGGTGCAATGCTAGACAGTTTTCCTGTCTTTTTAAAAAATATGCTAATTGATCATATGACAACCACTGAGGAGGTCATGAAGGATTTGGGGGAAAAATAGGTAAAATAATTATTCATTTTTATTAAAGATTTATTTATTTATGCATAGAAGAACAGAGGTACAGGCCAGAGGTGTGTGTGTGTGGAGGGGGGGTGGTGGTGAGAGGATTCACCAGAGACAGAATAGGGAACAGAACAGGCGAATTGATTGAAATACATTGCTGAGGGGAGCAGCGGGCGAGTCAGGAGAGGGGTGGTCTGCTGCGCCAAAAATCATTATTGAATATTTAAAATATATTAGAAATATCTTCAGCATTTTCCCCTAGTCATTATTCTATAAAACAAATGATATTTTTAAAAATTAATGTATTTTTATTTAGATGTTTTATGTTTTAATTAAAATCTTTTTTTATTAAAGTAACACTGCTTTATAACATTATGTAAGTTTTAGATGTGCATCATTGAGACTCAACATGTATATTTACTATATTAAGTTCATCATTAAAAGTTCAAATCTGAGGCAAATGGTATTTTAGCCCTATTTTATATACAAGGAAACTAAGACTCAGAGAGATTAAGTAACGTGCTCAAGTTTGCATGGTTAAAAGGAGAGGAGCAAGGATGAGTTGTTGGACATGGTATATGAGTTGTGGTAATAGTTATGTCTGTGAGATTTAGTTAAACAAGGGAAATGACCAGAAAAAAAGTAGAGAGCCAGGAGCTTAACTACTTAATAAATATTTAAATACTTTAGTTACTCCTGAATGTAGAGGCCTCACTCACACAAAGTGGGGAAAAAGCACATTAAGTCAGAGAAAGTGAAGGATAAAGGGTAGTATGGAAATTTTTTAAAGAATGCCACTGCATTTTGGGAAAAAGAAAAGATGATAAAAAGTGAGGCAGAGGGCAAGCAGAGACCCCTTAGGACCTGAACCTATGGTATCAGAAGTGTAAGAAGAATAAGAGAGGTTAGGGACCAACAAGGATGATATTAGATGAGAGAGTGCATTCACAATAAATTTGCACTTATTATTAGTCCTATTCAAATTATACTGGGAAATGAAGGATTATTATGATTATTATTATTATTATTACTTGCAATTGTCTTTTCAGGTTTATATAATAGGCTAATAGAAGCAATTTATTTTGAGACTAAAAATTTTATATTTGTTTCTTTTTACAATGAAAAGAGGAAATTGTATTTTCCATTTCTGTTCTGTCTCAAGTTACTGCTACATGAAGAGCAATTTGTAAAGCAATGAGCCTGAGTTTTGTATGGTTCATAAATTATTTCTGAGAGCATTCTAGAAGAGAAGTTTGAAATGTTTTGAGCAAAGGCAATACCACTGAAATGTGTCTAATCTCCCAAAGTGGCTGCTTAGATATAATGCTCATTTAGACGTCTAGTTCTTAGTATGCTTACTGGCAAATCAGCCACATTATGTACTAGTCACATCAGATTGTATGTCCTAATGTGCTTTCTTTGTGTTGTCTTTGAATACCAAGTCACTGATAGTCAAAGACATCTGCCTTAGTAAAGTGAAATATTTAGAAGTCTAGAAAGTTTTCTGACGTAAGCAAAAATGTCCTTTCTTAATGTTTTAGAAATTAAATATCATTTTGTATTTTCATGGTTTTATTTAAATTACTTAGAATTTGAATAGCATGATAGGAAG